CAGAAAGAGGCTGCTCTGGACTTTCAGGCTAGAATCTAGACACGAGGATCCTAGGTCCTAAAGGAGGCTTCTGTCTTGAACTCATGCTAGGCAAGAGTTGGGAGACAAACACTTGTGGGGCCCAGCCGGTGTCCTGCCAAGGCAGGAGACTGTAGGCTAGGTGAAGGCCAGTGATTACCTCAGGGGTGGGGACAGGATCATTGTCCTCTGAAGAACCAGCCCCTCTCTTCTTTCCCTTCAGTCCCAAACCCCCTTTCCATGACCTGTTCATGTGGTGGTGGAAATGGAAGGGGCCCCGAAGGAGCAGTGACCCCAGACCTGTGCCTGCTTGTGTGGGGAGCCAACTTGTCTGCTCTATCTGCTGGCTTAGCTCTATTCTTCACTGATAAATACAGACCCTAGACCCTTCTGCAGACCTCATACAGTCTCCACAGCATTTTTTTTTTGTATGTGATGCTGTGTGAATGGAACCTAGGTCATCTGTTTGCCTCACGTAAACACCAGACTACCCCCTGTTATATCCAGCACCATTCACAGAGCAATGGTGTTTTCTTTTTTGTCAACAGTCTTATTTTGTAGCCCAGGCCAGCCTCAGACTCACAGCAGCTCTTCTGCCTCAGCCTCCCTAGTGCTGAGATTGCAGGTGTAAACCATCATGCCCTGCACACAGAGTTCCTTTGGGAAATGCCCGGAAAAATCAAATTAAATTAAAGAACAAGAAAATCTGAAAGACTGGGCTAAAGTAGGTCATTCCACTAGCCTCCCTAAGACTTTCCCAGGGCCACCTGGAGGACACCCAAGGCCTCAAGATGGGCTTGGGAAGCTGGGGAACACCTTTCAGAAATGGAATGTCCCAGACAGATGCTATGGCAAAGTTCCTCACCCAGCCAGCAGTAACTTCAGCTTATGAGTTGATCTCTGCAGTCACCTCCCCACCCCCACCAGGCCCAGCTGTTGTTTTGATGGTTTTGGGGCCAGGCAGATCCAAACCTCAGCCAACTGCTTCCCAGGAGAGTCTTCATCTTCAACCTCTGGGGGTGGCCAGACTAGTTCCTGGCAGGAGGAGAAGGAAGCACTCCTGGGCAGTTTGGTGACCAGCTGACTCCGTCACTCTGTCTGCTCAGGAAAGGAATCAAAACTGGACACACATGAAGGTTGGAAAACCCTAAGACATACAAGACACCCAATAGACCTGAGCCAGCCACACGCTGGGCTATGCTTGCAGCCACAAAATCAGCTCGATCCAGACCATAGACTGAGCTCTGGCTGTGCTGGTTACAGGCTGAACCACACTGGCAAAATAGTGTGCTGGATCCTTTAAGAGATATTTAGGTCTGGGCATAATAGCATATTTCTATAATTCCAGTACATGAGAGGCTAAGGCAGGAGGATCATAAGTTCTAGACCAGCCTGGATAACATAGATCCATAAAAGTTAAAATTTTTAAAAACTCTGTTATAACTAGATTCCAGGTAAATTATAATACACATGTTTTTTAATATGTTGCTTGAATTATAAGAACATATAAATCTCAAAAGCTCCACTAACCCCCCCAAATTAAACATTACAAAACTCCAAACCAAAGAACCAGTTAGATGGCTCAGGGGGTTAAGGCACTTGCTACTAACTTTGTCAACCTGAGTTTCTTCCTTCCTGAGACCTCCAGCTCTTAAAAGTTGTCTTTTGATTTACATACTCACATTGTGCATATGCACTCCCATACATGTATACACACACACACACACACACACACACACACACACACACACACCTTTAATCCCAGCACTTAGGAGGAACAGGCAGGCAGATCTCTCAGTTCAAGGCCAGCCTGATCTACAGAGTGAGTTCCAGTTTAGCCAGGGCTACACAGAGAAACCCTGTCTTGAAAAAAAAACAAAAACAAAAAAAATAACACAAACAGTAAGAAGCAACCAGGATATTGAAGGGAACAGATAGAAAAGTGAGTTTCCTGAACACAGAGACAGACAGACATGCTGAGGTGTGGGGGTAAAAGGGTGAATACTCTGTATCAAAGGCCATGAAACTAGTACATCAATTATTAATCAAGAAAACGCCCCACAGTCTTGCCCACAGCCCAATCAATTTAGATTCACTCTTCTCAAAAGACTCTCACTTTTTTTGAAATTGACAAAACAAAACAAAACAAAAAAAAACCCTAACCAGGGCTTAGAAGGTTCATTCAGTGGTAGAAGTGGCAGAATTCCCATTTAAAATGCTCAAGGCTTAACCTGGTGTGATGGCACACACCTTTAATCCCAGCGCCTGAGAGAAAGATCCTTGAGTTCAAGGCCAGCCTGGTCTACACTTAAAATTAAAAAGATAAACCTGTGGACCGAAGCCAGCCACGCCACCCGGGTACTCTGGGAAGCACAACGACAACACTGCTTCCCTGAGCCCAGCTGGGCACTCTCTGAGAAGTGAGTAGTTGGTGGAGTGACGGGAGAGAGAAACAAGTGTGTGGTGGAGAAATGAAGGACAGGCACTTTGTGCTCTATGGAGTGAGGAGAGACAGAAGACACAAAAGTGGTTGCTGTTTTTGCTCCTTGGGAAAGGTGAACGACACTGTCCATCAGTCGAGCTGGTAACCACCACAAGGGCTAGCGGGCCCAGGCCTTCTTCCTTTGAGAAAACCGGCCGCTGTACAAATTGCTGTGACTCCCGGAACTGTGTCCTAGCAGGAGAGCAGAACCCGCAGAATGGAGCCCTGCCACTGGCTGGACATGTCCTGTTGTATTTCCATCTCATCGCTGGCCTATCTGCTAATCTCTCTAGCTGGTTGTGGTAGTGGTTCAACTGTGAGATTGGACAGCTCTATGTTGAATTACAATTTTACTGTCCTAGAGACCCCACCCACAGCCACTGTGACGTGCAAGCGTGGGGCAGAGAAAGGGAAAGAGAAGGACGGTTCGAGTACTATGAAGAGAGGCGGATCTGAAGATGCGAAGGTGGAGAGAAACAGCCTGAGGTGAGTAGCCTGCGAAGCCACCTGAGACCATGGTGAATCCAGGTTCATGCTGCCACTGAGGGCCATGTCTCCAGCAGGGGTCTGTGTCGATGTCCATGACCCATATCACCACCAAAGGCCATGTGTATGTCCCGGGTCTGGACTGCCGCCTGGGACCATGTTAATGTCCAAAAGCTGCACAGAGTTGGCCTTGCCCCTCACTGGAAGCAGCACCAGGGAGAGTCGGCCCTGCACCTCACCTTGGCAGCACAGCGGAGCTGAGCCTGTTGTCTGGAGCAGACACAGGTGAACCAGCCCTGAGGGGGTGAAAGGGGAGAGCTGATCCCAGAGTCACCTCATCTGTCATGTGGTAGCACGGGAGAAGGAAAGATGCCTTTCACCCCTCCTTCCGCCCTCCCCTCTGCCCCTGTCACCTGCAGATGGGAGCAGGAAAGCTGACTTTGCCCCTCATCAACTGCAGTGCTCAGGAGGAAGGGTGGCCCCTTCAACTCGCCTAGGCAGCACAGCAGAGCTGGCCCTGGTGGTAGGGTGTGGGTAGGTAGGCCAGCCCAAGGTTTGAGAGCAAGAGAACTGGCCCCGCCTCTTGCTGCCTGCAAAATTGGGTGAGCTAGCTGAGGCAGTGCTGGAGAGAGTGACCTGGTAGTGAGGATGAGGGAGAGCTGGGCATCTACCACCCAGGCCCAGAACCAGGGCTCTGAGTTGACCCACCCCAACATCCACCCCTTCTGTGAACAGCTAGAGGATGTGAAGGAGACAGTCCTGCAGATTCAAAGCTGCAGGGTTTCCATGACACAGGGCAACAACAGGATATCCGAGAGGAGTCTCAGTGAGGGCCCAGTATTAATAGTGTAGCAAAAGTCAGAGGCCATAAACTAGATCAGTGACTCATTGCAGTGAGCACTTGTAAGCAAAGATGGATGAACTAATGGGCACACTGTGTGACTCACTGTGACACACTACGGCTTCCATGACAAGTTGTTTTTTTTTTCTTTTCAATTTTATTTTATTGGGGGTTGGGAGGTTGCAAGGGCAGGAGGTGGTTACGAAGGGATGGGGAAATGAATGGGAACGGAGCACGTGATGTGAAATTCACAAAGAATCAGTAAAAAGTTAAAAAATAGTGATAGTAAATCTTAGTTGAGAAGTGGTGGCGCACGCCTTTAATTTCAGCACTCGGGAGTCAGAGGCAGGTGGATCTCTGTGAGTTCGAGGCCAGCCTGGTCTACATATCTAGTTCCAGAACATCCAGAATTACACAAAGAAATCTTGTCTAGAAAAGAGAAAGCTTATTAGCTGGGTGTGGTGGTGCATGCCTTTATTTGCAGCATTCAGGAAGCAGAGGCAGGCAGATCTCTGAGTTCGAGGCCAGCCTGGTCTACAGAGTGAGTTCCAGGACAGTCAGGGCTACACAGAAAAACTCTGTCTCAAAAACCAATCAAAAAAAATTTTTAAAAACATGTCCAGAGCTAAGGATATAGCTCAGTGGTAGAGATAAGGTTTGGAATTCCTTCTTGGGATTACTGAAAAATTAAATATGATATTCTAGTTCTAGTATGTAGGAGGACCTGAAAGAAGGAGGAAGAAAAGGAGGAGAAAGGAGAGCAGAAGGAGGAAGAAGAGATAGGAGGGGCTGGAGAGATGGCTCAGTGGTTGGGAGCATTGCCTGCTCTTCCAGGGGTCCTGAGTTCAATTCCCAGCAACCACATAGTGGCTCACAACCATCTGTGATGAGGTCTGGTGCCCTCTTCTGGCCTTCAGGCATACATGCAGACAGAATTATGTATACATAATAAATAAATAAATTATAAAAAAGAAGAAGAAGAGATAGGAGACAGGGAGGAGGAGTGGAAGAAGGATGGTAATTTACCCATACATAGGAACTTGTTAGTAAAGCTGTAGCGTGCCAAATGCAAAGATAAATCTTAAAATTTCTCACATTGTAGCCGGTTGGTGGTGGCTCACACCGTCAATCCCAGCACTTGGGAGGCAGAGCCAGGTGGATCTCTGTGAGTTCGAGGCCAGCCTGGTCTACAAGAGTTAGTTCCAGGACAGGCCCCAAAGCTACAGAGAAACCCTGTCTCGAAAAACAAAACAAACAAACAAAATCTCTCACATTGTAAACTGGGCTCTTACTCTGCTGCCTGTCTCGGAAGAAAGAACCCTGGTCAGAGACTGAGCTTCAGGTCTGGGTACACATTGATACCTGGTTCAGAACACAAACTGAGTACTAGGGGCTGCAGAAATGACCCAGTGGCTAAGAACACTGTCTGGTCTTCCAAAGGACCCATGTTCACTTCTCAGTACCTACACTGAAACTCACACCTGTCTGTAACTCCAGTTCCAGGGCTTGGGACACCCTTACACAGATACACATGTAGTCACCCTTACACATGGAGTCAAAACACCAATGAACATAAAGTAAACTATATATTAAAAAACAAACACACTATAAACAGAGTGCTGACCCTGGACTTACTGAGCCACTAATCCTGGTCGCAGACTAAGTGTGGGCAAAGCCTGACCTAGTAAATGTTTGACTTAGGCACAATTGAGCCTTGTCCTGGGTCGTGGGCCAACCTTGAGACTCAAGATGACTCCTGAGTCTCAAGATTAATCATAAAGTCTGGTTGCTACTGATCACACTGGAGCTTCTAGGACTAGCTTGGTTTTGGGAGGCATAGATATCCGCAAAGCTGGCTGCTGACCACAGGTAGGAGTGGAACGCATTGGCTTGGTGAGGGAGCAGACCCCAGAGCACCTTCTCACCTCCCTCTTCTGAGAGAGAAGCACCAACCCGGTCCAAGGGACCCGGTTGCCATCTCCTGGCAACTTCGAGCACTGCGCTCAGAGCCCAGAGGCGGCCGCTCCACTCGTCCGTCCACTTTCTGGAATCAAGTGGAGGCTCTCGACACGGAGACGTCTCTGAGGCATCAGACCCAAACACAAAGTTGTTTCTCTTCGTCAGGGCGGCCGCCCGCCAGCTCCTCTTCGCTGCATCTCTGTGGGCGGCGCGGTTCGGGGGCCCTCGCCGGGGTAGGCAGGACAGGGCGTAGTCGCCGGACCAGGAGGGAGCGGGCGGCGGAGGCGAGTACCAGGAGAGGCGGCAGGGAGAGGAATCCGAACACAATGAGCGCTGCAGAGCCGCGATCGGAGAGTAGCGCTCGGCACCGTGGACCCGGGGCTGGATGAACCTGCGGACGGTGGAGGCATAGGGTCGGACCGGGAAGCACCAGGGTGGTGAAGTCGTGAGGAAGGACCAGGGTCCGAGGACTGGAGGAGAGGACCTAGAGATTGTGGCAGAGTCCAGAGAGACAAGGGGCGGGGCCTGGAGAGCGAAGTGGGGCCTTACAGGACATAAATTGCCAGACTACAACCAAGAGTTGGCCTGAGTTGTGGTTGCTTTGGGCCAAGCAGTGTTGAAGTCTTTTTTGGGGATATCTGGAACCCAGACTATAAATGGCCCAGGTAGGGCTGAAGGAAAGACTCCGAGAACTTCCCTGGCTCTCCCAACCCAGCTTTCCTGTCCCCATCAGTGCTCTTTCCCACCGCCCTTACCTGTATGGACAGCTAGTATTGACCTCCAGCTGTACCTTCACCATTTCTCTCCCACACCGAAAGCCACAGAAAGGAATATAGGGACCATCTATATAGAGATCAAGCCATAGCTCTCTCCACAGGTGGGGAAGCCCAGACCAGGTCTAGAGGGTTTGGGGAAGAGTGGAGAAGCACTGAGTATAGGTGAAATCTGACAATTTATCTTCCTATCTCCACTTCGACCTCACTGACCAGGCCCTGGTGCCTACTGGTACAAAGCTAAGAGGCCTGGGACAGGCAAGACAGCTGTTCCCTGAGAAACAAACAAAAGCTTTTCTTTGTCTGCAGCTGGTAGGGGTGTTGGCAGAAGAGGACACATGCATCTCCGCATACAAAGGGGCAGGGCTGGAAGGGGGTAGATTCACCTTCCATCCCAAGAGACTTGAACCTCCACAGGACTCCCACCCCACAGGGACTAGCCAATGCTCACCCTTGAGTGGCACAGGAATCCCAGGTAGACAATGGCAGCAGCTGGCAGCAACACCAGCAGGAAGACTGTCCCAGGTAGCAGCAGATGGCACAGGAACACAACCAGAGCCCGGCCAGGCAGCAGCAGGGTCCTGAGGCCTTCGGTGGTCAGGATAGGCCACCCTGGGTATACCAGGACTGGGATACGGTAGTCAGCAGACCTTCTTTGGGGTAGCATGGGCGCCGTGTCTGAAGTGCCTCCTTCATCCTCTTCTGCCTCCATCTCCTGCTGCTCACTCATGTCCTGGCGGTGGACCTTGAAGGATGCTTTCCCTAAGATCACAGTAGTAGGCGGTAGGACTAGCTCCCACCGCCAAGCCCAGACTAGAGATCCTTTACCCTCCCCCGGTTCAGTTCACTTCTAGATCCTAGCCACCAGAGAGTGGACTGTTGTCCAGTTTAGTCTAGCGCCGGATATCAGTCTCCAGGGCTACACCCCTGTCACGGTTTCCCCACTACCTTGTTGGGCCTCTTTGCCAGGCAAATGAAGGCAGCTCCTCTGGTTAGGTCTCACACAGCTATCCCTATCTGAGTACTATGGCCCTCCTTCCTTACAGCCCACCCTTTCCCAGCTTCCAGTTCTCCCAAACAATGGCTCCATTTCACAGATCCTGGCTATGACAAATGTCCTATCAAGAGCTGCCATCTAGGGACAAACCATTAACTCATGTCCTAGCCCTAGTCCTTTCAATTCCCCTTTTCTAACAAGTAGGCCCCTCTTTGGTGTCAGTATAAGAAAACACCATAGGGTTGGAGAGAGGACTCAGTGCTTAAGAACACTGGCTGCTTTTCCAGAAGATCTGGGTTTAATTCCCAGCACCCATATAGCAGCTCACAGGTGTCTCCAACTCCAGTTCCAGGGCATCCAGCCTCACACAGACATACACACAGGCAAAACAACAATGCACATAAAATAAAAACAAATAAATCATTAAAAAAGAAAAGATGAAGCCACCAGGTGACTCCATGCTGTGGAGTGGTTCAGAGGATGCTTACTGGAGTACCTGGCAGATAGCAGTCACCCGATGAACAGCCGCTCCAGTTGCTCTGCACTGAATCCAATCCATCGCGGGAGCACACAACAGGCTTTTCAGATGATGAGAACATGCAATCCACTGAAAGCTCCACCATTAACCCCTACTATTGCTAAAATGCCTTCACACGAGAAGTACACAGAGGACAGCATTTAAGCCCTACTTACATAAGCTGTTGACCCTTAATGAGCTAATGTTTCCCCTTCTGTACCATTTCTTCCAGTGGATTTTGTCACTTCCAACTTTCCTTTGAATATCTTCCGATCCTGGACAGCTTTCCAGGTGACATTTGATATGCTTCACGAAAGGCAGCTTGCTTTCACTGGCATGCCTGGCACAGCCAGATGTGACCGTGGCTGTTTGTGTATTTGGGTAATAAATCTAGAGTAAAGAATATTGTAAGGTGACGATAGCTCAGAGGTTCAGGACACATATTGTCCTTGTAGAACGACCTCCGTTTGGATCCCAGCGCCTACTTCAGGCAGCTCACAACCATTTATAACTCCAGCTCCATGAGGCTCTGATGCCTCTGATTTCCTACCCACATATTCATATATCTATACACACACATGCACACACATACACACTCACAAGCATACAACTGAAATAAGAAAAATAAAAATATTTTTAAAAAGTGTTGCAGGAGCTGGAGAGTTGGCTCAGTGGTCCATCTTGCAGAGGACCCAGGTTCTATTCTCAGCGTCCACATGTTGGCTCATAATCTTCTGTAACTACAGTTCCAAAGGGTCTGGTGCCCTCTTCCGGCTTTTGTAGGCACCAGGCATGCATGTAGTACACACATATACATTCTGGAAAAATGTTCATACCCATAAAGTAAAATAAACACATCCAAAAAATTTTAAGTGTTGTAAATTTGCTCCACACTCTTGTAATTTAAAAAAATATATATTTATGGGCTGGAGAGATGGTTCAGCGGTTAAGAGCATTGCCTGCTCTTCCAAAGGTCCTGAGTTCAATTCCCAGCAACCACATGGTGACTCACAACCATCTGTAATAAGGTCTGGTGCCATCTTCTGGCCTACAGGCATACATGTAGACATACTATTGTATACGTAATAAATAATAAATAAATAAATATTTTTTCTTAAAAAAAGAAAAAATATATATTTGTTCGCCAGGTGGTGGTGGCACACACCTTTAATTCCAGCACTCGGGAGGCAGAGCCAGGCAGATCGCTGAGTTTGAGGCCAGTCTGGTCTACAAGAGCTAATTCCAGGACAGGCTCCAAAGCTACAGAGAAACCCTGTCTCAAAAAAAAAGGGGGAGGGGGGTGGAGAGATGGCTCAGTGGTTAAGAGCATTGCCTGCTCTTCCAAAGGTCCTGAGTTCAATTCCCAGCAACCACATGGTGGCTTACAACCATTTGTAATGAAGTCTGGTGCCCTCTTCTGGCCTGCAGACATACACACAGACAGGATATTGTATACATAATAAATAAATAAATTTAACCCCCCCCACACGCACGCAAATATATATGTTTATTTATTTTAGTCTTCACCTCACTGCATAGCCCTTGCCGATTAGCCTAGAACTCAATATATGGACCAGGATGACCTTAAATTCATATAGATACAACTGCCTCTGCCTCCTGAGTGCTGAGATTAAAAATAGATAGGCATAGTGGCCTACAACTTTAAATCCAGCACTTGGGAAGCAGAGGCAGGTGGATCTCTAAGTCTGAGGCCAGCTTGGTCTACAAAGCAAGTTCTAGGACAGCCAGGGATATACAGAGAAACCCTGTATCGAAAACAACAACCAAAAAGTATGCATCATCATGTCTGACTGATATTTTATTTTAAATGTTTTAATGACTTATTTATTTTCTATGTGTAAGTATTTTGGCTCCATGGATGAATATGCACCATGTGCATGCCTGGTGCTCACAGAAGAGGGTGTCAGATCCCCTGGAACTGTGGTTACGAATGGGTTGTGAGCCACCATGTAGGTGCTGGGAATCTCACCCTGGTCCTCTGTAAGAGCAACAAGTGTTCTTAAGTGCTGAGCCATCTCTCTAGCTCCTGATAATTTTTTTGATTATATGTGGGTATGTTCACATGAGTGCAGGTATCCTCAGAGGTGCTTGGGAGACAGAGGCAGGCAGATCTTTATGAATCCGAAGTCAGATTAGTGTACATAATGAGTTCTAGACTAGCTAAAGCTATGTAGTAAGATATATACTGGGACCCTGCCCTCTCTGTCCCAGGCCCAGAGTGAAAGGCCCACATGAAAGCCTTGTTCCTTCAGGGCCTCCTTTCTACCTCTAGACATGAGTCCTTATCATCCCCTGTCCCAGAAATATCCTTGCTTGCTTTCATCCCTTCCCACTGAAATTTCTTCCCTTTCATGGCCTGCACTAGCCTGTCTTAACCTGTTCTCCAGGAGTTACCAACCCCACCGTTCAGATGTCAATGTGAACCTTTCTCTCATTCCAAGCATCTCATTAGGAAGAAGGATAGAACCTAACAGGGTCCACTCCCCAACCCTGTCTGAAGCTAGGAGGAGAGGTGGTTCCAGCCCCAGGTTGGGGTGGGGGCAGGTAGAACGCAGGGTGCCGGGGGAGGGGGCAAGTCAGAACATATCAAAGTTTGTGTTACTTGGAGGAAGGTAGGAAGGAGGTGCTGCCATCCAAGGCATGTTCCTGCTTGTCCTTCCCAACCTGTCCTGGCTTTTGTTCCTGGGAGTGAGGCCAAGAGCTTTAGTAGCCTGCTAGGGAACAAGAGTGTTCAGGCAGAGGCTGCTCCCTGGCAGGCAGAGACTCCCTTCAAATTACTAAATAAACAGTGTCAGGTGACTTTAGCATGGTCCATAAGGAAGCGACAGATCTTTGCCAACTCCTAACTTCAATCTAGCCTCCCAAGAGTAGCACCCACCTCTCAACTTGCAAGAAAAAAAACTTCTGAGGAAGGTCACCAGATTGAAGCTAGCCTAGAAATAGAAGAGGGAGAACCCAGTTCCCTCTGGAGATAATTGGGAGCCAAGGCCCTTCAGAAGGCTAAGAGGTATCTGAGTCCCCCTAGTCGGTGGTGACTTGGGACAGGTAGGGTGAACCAGCAGGAGGCCTCAGGGTGGATGCTCTTCCCAGATGGATTCCAGCAGGCTGGAGCAAGAACTGCAGTGGATGGAGCTGATTTGGGAGGCGGCTCCAGCAGACAAGACAGAGAAACCTCTTACCTCCCAAGCCTGGAGTACTCTGTTCCAGGCAGTGTGGCGGGGTGCTCCCAGCCTGGTGATACAGCTGCTGAGGCAAGGTGCCAGTGTGGAGGAGAGGTAAGCCGCATGACTAGCTCCAGACTTTCTCTAACTAGGGCTGACCGGATAGGAAGCACCCTCACGTATTTCACACCCCACAGGGATCACGCAGGTCGGACTCCGCTCCATCTGGCTGTGATGCGAGGCCACGTGCCCCTTGTACGCCTACTGTTGCAGCGTGGATCCCTGGCAGGCGCAGTTGATCACGTAGGGCGCACACCGTTGCACGAGGCTGCTTGGCACGGACACTCAAAGGTGGCGGAACTACTGTTGCAGCGTGGGGCCTCAGCGGTGGCATGCTCTCAAACGGGCCTCACGCCTCTCCACTGGGCAGCTGCGCTGGGCCGCACACTACTGGTTACATGCCTTCTGGCCGCACCAGGTTCAGACCCTGCTGTGAAGGACTTAAGAGGTTGGACCGCCACACACTGGGCCGCGGCATGTGGGCAACTGCCTGTACTAGAGCTGTTGACTGTGGGAGGCAGCTTAGACCTGGACAGCGCCCTGCTGGTGTCAGCGGTAGCTGGAAGAGCATCAGCCTTGCGGCTTCTTCTGGCACTAGGGGCAAAGGTGGATGCCCTGGACAGCACGGGAGTCACCGCGCTTGGCCTGGCAGCTGGCCTAGGCCACCACCAAGTAGGTCCAGCCTTCACCTGCAATGACTGTGCCGGAAGCCAAAGGGCTTGGTTCTCTGCACTTACTTCCATAAGCTCTGAGGGAGGAGAGGAACAGGCAGGAAGATGCTGAAGCACAGGAGGGCAGGGAGGAGGGGTTAGGAGGTGAGCAGGCTCCCAGTTGGACCCTCCTTATAAAACTTCCCTACTGAATGGTGGCCCATAGCAATGAATTGGGTGAATATTTAAGTTTTTCTGAAACAGCAATTTGCTATGTCGCCTTAGCTGGATCTTTTTTAAAAAATATTTATTTATTATGTATACAATATTCTGTCTGTATGTCTGCCTGCAGGCCAGAAGAGGGCATCAGATCTCATTTCAGATGGTTGTGAACCATCGTGTGGTTGCGGAACTCAGGACCTTTGGAAGAGCAGGCAATGCTCTTAACTGCTGAGCCATCTCTCCAGCCCCTTAGCTGAATCTTGAACTCACATAGATCCTCCAGCCTCTGACTCCTGGGTGCTGGGATTAGTGTGGGCCACCATGTCTGTCAACAATCATTTATTTAAGTATTTGGCTGGGGGCTGGAGAGATAGCTCAGAGGTTAAGAGCATTGCCTGCTCTTCCAAAGGTCCTGAGTTCCCAGCAACCACATGGTGGTTCACAACCATCTGTAATGAGGTCTAGTGCCCTCTTCTGGCCTGCAGGCATACATGCACATAGACTACTGTATACATAATAAATAAATAATAATTTTTTTTTAAAAAAGAGTATTTGGCTGAATCTCAAGAGCAGTGGGGCCCAGGGAGCACCAAGGGTAACAGCCTTTGCACAGTGTTGAATTTGATCCAAGAATTTGAGGCTGCCTCGGATTTCATCCCATTCATTCCCAAAAGAAAAATTGTAGGGATTTTGGCCCGGCAAACACCAGTCCCTCTGAACCAGGGTAATGGGCTCTTTCTCTCTTCGTCCTTTCCTTTTCCAGGATGTGGAGGTTCTGCTGGACCATGGGGCAGACCCACGTATCACGGACAGGAACAACTGCTCTGCACTCCACAGGGCTGCCGCTGGCGGACATCTACCTGTTGTACAGCTGCTGGTGGCCAAGGGCATCGAAGTGGATTCTCAGGACTCACTGGGTCTCACGCCCCTGCACTACGCTGCCCGGAGAGGCCACGTAGAAGTTGTCAGCCATCTCCTGGACAGGGGTGCCCAGGTCAACGCTGCCGGCTGGCTCCGCAAGACCCCTCTGCACCTTGCTGTGGAGTGTGGCCACAGAACCACTACAGATCTTTTGCTAAACCGAGGAGCCAACTCTTCCTTGAGGTCACAGTGGGGTGAAATGGCCCAGACCCTATAGGGTACCTGCCCCAGGCACTGCCTGATTTCCTTTACTAAACAAACTTCTTAAAAACTACAGAAAGATGAGAAATTGGAGCTGTACTTCTAACAAAATTAAGAGTTTAGGGTTATGGAGGATATCTTTTTGTTGAGATTTGTTCACAGGACTGGGCGGTGGTGGTTTAAGCCTTTAATCCCAGCACTTGGGAGGCAGAGGCAGGTGGGTCTCTGTGAGTTCAAAGTCAGTCTTGCCTACAGATCAAGTTCTAGGACAACCAGGGCTGTTGCAAAGAGAAATTCTGTCTCGAAAAACAAAAACCAAACCAAACCAAACCAACAACAAAAACTGCTACCCATTAGGTTATATTCACGTATCAAAAGGATTGTAATTATTCCAGGCAAGTAAGATATCCTTGGTTAGCCGGTGGTGATGGCGCACACCTTTAATCCCAGCACTCGGGAGGCAGAGGCAGGTGGATCTCTATGAGTTCAGGGTCAGCCTGGTCTACAAGAGCTAGTTCCAGGACAGGCTCCAAAACTACAGAGAAACCCGGTCTCGAAAAACAAAACAAAGCAAAAAGATATCCCTGGTTAACAACTACATAAAAAAGAACAACATTGGTCAACATTTTGCCATGTAAATCTCTTATTTGTTTAAATGGCGACACTTGCAGTTTCCAGTTCATGTAAAATATGTTCAAAGTGTACCTTTGTGCTGGACCTAAACAGGATTTACAGATGACAGTATAGTGAAATGTTATAGATCAAAATCTAGATAAACTGCAAAGAATTTCTGCTCAAGGGTGGTGTCTCTGTGTGTGTTAGCCAGAAATCATCATTAAAGGCGTGGGTTTTTTTTTCCTTATGATTCTCTGAATGTCTGGAGTAAATTCATGATTGTTGTTGTTGGTGGAGCTAACTCTGCTGCTTCACTAGGAGTCACAACCCCTGTCCCTGAGCTTCCTTGGGTGATGCCGAGACTTTTTGACCAAAACAGGACAAGAAAAATCCTGAATCCTCCTTCTCGGTAGAGACCACCTATACGGTCATGGAGAAAAACATGAGAATTGTTGGAGAAAGAAGACGCTGACCTCTGTTCTCAGGAGTATAGCTTCTCGGCTCCAGCCTCCTCCACATGAGGGTCGAGTGGTAACAGATTTGATTAAAACCTCTTTTGTCTGTCCGCCACAGGGGCTCCCCCTTACCTGCACTGTTTGCGGGGGATGTACTGTTTGTTTTCGTCTTTCATACTAGTTTCTTCTTTCATCTCTGTGATAAGATGCTTGAAAGAAGAGACGTTTGGCTTGTAGTTTCGGGACACACAGTCCAGTTTATGGATGTATGTTCCATGAGGCTTATGGGAAAGCTTTGCCCACCTGCTGTAAACACCTTTCTGATATTTCCACCAGTGATTTTTTAAAAAGTGTCTTGATTTGTGGCTTTCTTTGTTCTGTTATAAGAAAAATTTCAAGAAGCTGGATATAGTGATACACTTTTTTTTTTTTTTTTTTTTTTTTGAGACAGGGTGTCTCTGGGTAGCCTTGGCTGTCCTGGGACCAGGCTGACCCTTAACTCACATAGGTCTGGCTGCATCTGCCTCCCAAGTGCCGGGATTAAAGGCATTTACTACAAGACTTATGAAAGTTTTTTTGTTTGTTTGTTTCAGTTTTTACTGTTTTCAGACAGGGTTTTATTTGATAGTCCAGGCTGGCAGAAACCTATTACAAACCTCCTCTCTTGGACACCTGAGCACTAGAGCTACAGGTGGAAACCACTGTGTTCAGCTCAGAAAACTCTTCTTTAAGTAGAACGCCAACCAAATGTGGACGGGATGACGCATTGCCTGGAGGACCAGCTTTCAGCACGGCAGGGCTCAAAGGGAATCCACAGAGTCAGCACATTAGACCAACTCTGAGGGTCTATCTGAGGGTCGCCAGGGAAAAAAGACACTCACTCTGTATTGATGTTTCCTTCTTGATTCTTCTGTGTTCTTCTAGTCTTCATTTCCTGGAGATTTCATTCTCTCATTCTTGATGTTTTCCTTCTAATCTATTTTAACTCTCTCTTTATTCTTTCTCTTACATCTTATAACCCCAGCAAAATCTTTCAGGCAGTATAAAAATTACAATGTGGTTACATTCTGTTTTCCAAGTGAATGATTACAGTGAATACAAAGAAAAAAAAAACAGCATGTTTTCTGTATCCCTTACGGAATTAAACATTTTACATATTACAATTGAAAAGCAAATTATCCCAAGGACTCATGTACATTCATAGTCAAGCAAGTTTTTATAGATTAACAGTATGTAAGCAAGCAAGATATTCTTTTGCTAGCAGACTGTGTTTTATGGTTACAAAGAAAGGGCCAATCACTTTCTTACTTATCTTGAAAGGTAATCTTATTAGGAATCTTAAAGGAATCACAAATCTAAACTTATATATGAAAAGAATCACTCAGCTCTACTTTAAATCTTTAGGGTGCATATCCACTCAACAATAGTTTCTTTTATCAGGAGATTGAGGGCAGGAATGGGTACAGTAATTAATCACTACCTTTGATCATTAACCAGCCCTAGCAAGAAAGGCACGTCAGCTAATAATAATTGGACTGCTTTGTTCTTGTTCCCTGACCTTAACAAGTTCCTCATTCAACTCTGGGTCTTTCTAAACTCTAGATTTTCTTCTTTTGCAAAAAAAATTTTCTTGCCAAATTACTTTCCCTTGGTTTGTGTGTTCCTTTCTGCAACACTTGAGATTTTTTTCTTCACTTCCATATGCTCCCCCCAACAAAAATAAGTACATATTATTAATTTTTTGTTTGCTTTTGTTGTTTGTTTTAGCTTTTTGAGGCTTGGTTTTCCTGCTTCTGCCTCTCCAGTGCTTGGGACACCACCACATGCAACTAGTCGTCAGTTTTTTGAGTCACACAGATCCTGTCTCACGGCTGAAAAGAAAGGGAAGCAAGGACTGTCGAAGGGCAAGCAAGCAAGCGAAGTTTATTCCGAAATAGAGAAGCCAGTCCCAGTAGCAGTGTGGGGGTGTCTCGAAAATGAGCTGCCTTAATTTGAATACGTATGTGGAATTTTGATTGGTTGATGGGATCAGGTGAAAGGGTGCATGTTCAAGTAAGTCTCTGAAAAGTTCCAAGAGGTCAGAGAATTCAGAACTAAAAGAAACAAAAGATGGTAGCCAACTTCTTCTTAAGTCAGTCAGAGCTTTACTCTAAGTAAAGGTGATGTGCTGCTCTTACAAAGTCTAGTCCCACCCCGACCCCCAGCTTGGCCTTCATCTCCCTATAGCATTTTTTTTTTTCCCCTACCACACCCGGCTCTGGGAGCCCTTCATTCCCCGAACTTGGCTTTCTATACCCATAGGAGGTTAGCTTTCATCCCGTAGGCACATCTTTTTCAGAACAGTAGATACCTTTGCTTATCTGGGCCTGCGACTCAGACTAGCTGCCATACAGGGGTGTAGTGGCGCAGGCCTTAAACCCCAGCACTCGGGAGGCCGAGGTAGACGGAGCCCTGAGAGTTCGAGGTGAGCGTGGTCTCCAAAGCGAGCTCCAGGACAAACTGCTACACAGAAAAATCCTGCCTCGAAAAAAACCCCAAAAAATAAAACAAATAAGCAAAATTAGATTAGCTGCTTTTAGAATGAAGCTGCCTTGACTTAATTTCTGTCACTCATTTAGGGACAACTAACTGATGACCACACAAGAGCAGGCCACTGAAGGTTCTTTCGTTTCTGGAAATCTGATTTCCGTGCGCAACTGCCCTTCCTGTCCTCCTCAGCCCCGCCGCCTCGATCCTTCCAGTCCCTGACATCAGCTCCACGCATCCGGTCCGTTCTGCTGCTCCCCGTGCTTGCTGACCGTCACGCACAACGGAACTCAGGGAGCAAGCCTAGGGGCATCCCGGAAGACTGTGCGCGCGCACACCCGGCCTGGCTGGTCTCTCTGCCCGTTGACCCGGAAATGCTTATGGCAGCCGCTCGGATCGCGGGAGCCCAGAATGGTGTTCCTTACAACGCGGCTCTGGCTGCGGAACCGCCTCACCGACCGGTTCTGGCGGGTCCAGGAGGTGCTGAAGCACGCTCGGGTGAGTGCGCGTGCTGGGATCCCCGGGGGCGCGGGAAAGGTTGTGCGCTACCATCCAGACTCCCATCTTTTTCTTCTTCCAGCATTTTAGGGGTAGGAAGAACCGCTGCTACCGGCTGGCCGTCAGGGCGGTAACCAGAGCCTTCGTGAAGAGCACGCAGGCCCGCAGACTGAAGAAGCGGAACCTGAGGACCGTAAGCACCGACCCTGGGGGTCCCATCCCGACCCCCAAGCTTGTCCTTCATCTCCCCGAGAGCTAGGCTCTCCTCCACACTCGACTACAGGAGCTTGGCCTTCATTCCCTTGGAGTTCACCTCACCCTGGATAGAAACTGTGTGAAGGGCGAAAGGACCGGCATTGGCACAAGACAACCCTAGACCAAGTTCTCAGCGCAAAGGAGATTGATTTGCCCCAGTGGGACAAAATGCATGGGAAAAGAGACAAGACAGGAGCTAGAGGACCGGGAGAAGGGCGAGGGATGCTTATCCCATAGCGACAAAGGTCTGCCGTGGATAGAGAAGAAACAGGCTTGCCCCACAGGCAAATGACAGTTTAAAAAGGTGAAAGAGGAAGCCTCCTGTTAGGATGGGGTGTTTATTTTTAATAGGACAGGTTAGTCAGGGTAGCCACAGGGGGCTTTTGCTGGACTTCAATATTTGGATAGCTGGACCTTGGTAGTCAGCCTCAGGAGGAGGAAGTGACCAAATAAAGGCTAGCTTTGGGAGTGTAATCTAACAATTTTTAGCAAGGAAGAGGGAAGAGTGGAAGGACAAGGCCTGCCCGAGCCATATTTGTTATGCTCGGACCTACTAGCGTCCCTTCAAAGGGTTTTGGTTTGTGCTTTTGCAGTTTGAGAGCTGTACTTGGAGCCTAGCTTGTAGCTGTTACAAGTACCTATGAGTAAGTCGGCAGGCCCATATGATAGGAGTCAGAAAGTGCTCCCTAAGGCTGGAGAAATGGCTGCAGGACTCGCTGGTCTTCTGTATCATCCGAGTTCTGTTCACAGCACCCTCATGAGGCAACTCACAACTGCCCATACTTCTAACTGCAGGGGATCTGACTCCTGGTCTCCATAGGCACCCATATACACATTTTCCACACATGACATACCCATATTTATACAAATGACCCCCCCAACCAGAATGTGGGTACATCATGATATCTGTGTTCACAGTCTGAATAATGTTGATTTGAGTTTCTGTTTGTTTTCAAATGCACCAGCCTTTGGAGTAGGGTGGTATTGCCCCAGGACCTGGTGATTTGTGCTGCATTGTTGTGAAAATATGGGGGTGTCCCTTTATAGTATGTAAAGTGAGTGTTTGCTGCCTCAGTGGAAGGGTCTCAGGGCTTGGGACAGTCTCATGGTCACCCTGGGATTCTCATGTGGGTTCAAACTTGAGAATTTTAGGAACTACTGTACCTTTGTGTGAAAAAAAAAAGATTAAAAGATCACTCTCACTCTGCAAAACAAACAACAACCCACTGATGTTTAATGTGTAAGAACAGAGGCACGTACCAGTTATACTGAAGAAACCTAACATTGCTGTCTCCAGGTCAGGGTCTCTTTGATTCGTACTTCTAGATTCTTGTGTCTTTCCAGATGTTAAGGTGTTTGCAGCCAGATCCTTCAAGGATTCTCCCTTCCATAGAGTTTGCTATGTTCCTCTGTCTGCCACAGAATCTCAATCTTTGTTTTATTGGTACATGCACATGGTTTGCACTGGGCGACTTCCTTGCTTGTCTTTTTTTTTTTGATGGGGGAGAGGGAGGCAGTACTTGGGATTGAATGACCAGGGCCTTGAGCATGCTAGGCATGGGTTCTCTGTGTGTACATGTACTCATGCATATGGATGGATGTGGAGGTTAGGAGGTTAGGGGTAACAGTTCTAGCCTTCCGCCTTGTTGAGGCAGGAGCTGCCTTGCTGATTGTGCTATACCCTGTACTCTAAGCTAGCTGGCCTATGAATTTATGGCTTAACCATAGGAGTGCTAGGATTGTAGATGGATGCTACAACTTCCAGCTTTTTTTTAATGATTTATTTTTATTTCATGTGCATTGGTATTTTGCCTGCATGCATGTCTGTGTGAGGGTGTTGGATCCTCTGGAGGTAGAGTTACAGGCAGTTGTAAGCTGTTATGTGGGTGGTGGGAACTGAACCCAGATCCTCTGGAAGAACAGCCAGTGCTCTTAACCGCTGAGCCATCTCTCCAGCCCCACATCCAGCTTTTTCACTTGAGTTCCAGGAATTGAGCTCAGGTCATCAGAATTGCCAAGTAATATGAGCCATCTCTGTGGCCTAT